CGGGGTGGGGGGGAGCTGCCGGCCCACGAGTGCCTGGGGCTGGCGAGGGTCCCGGGAGAAGCCTCCCTTTCCCCCTCTTTCTACAGAAATGTCTTATTTAGGCTGGTGCTGCGTCAGCAGGGCGCCCTGCGCCTGGTGAAGTAGGTCAGTATGACCTCTGTGGGCCCTGGTCTATCGATAGAAACCGTGTTCGCCTCTTGCAGCAGCTGCTCTGGAGCCTGTGGCTCGTCTCGGCCCCTTCGAGGGTAGGGAGGTGTCAAGCTGCTTTGGGGTGCCACGGGACTGCCCTCCCGTTTTATGTTTTTAGCAGTATCCTGCACCAAAAGGGATAACCGTTTTGGATATCTGCTCACTGCCTTGCTGGTGGAGGTTGAGGTGCAAAGGGTAAGGATGGTGGAGGGCAGGTTGAACCCCTGTATTCACTTTTATGTCCAGAAGTTAGAAAAGACCCCATTTGCATCCTAAACTCATCAGTGACTAGATGCAACTGCAAAAATGCTCTATCAACTGCTGTGGTCTTGCCTAAATCCATGGCATGGAGTTGATCCCCAGAAGTGCCAGAAAGTTAAGGCTCTGATAGCAGGTGACACTCCAGTCACCTGATTCTCTGATAATATTCCTGTAGGAGACTTGTTGGTGCTCAGCTTGTTTGCTCAAGAGTTCAACACCCCCTGCATTTAGTGCAAGGCAGCCTGAGAAGAGCCACATGATCAGTTTAAATGTGTGGGAGTAACTAACTGGCAGTCAACAGTAAATAAAATGGTGTGCAGTTGGTCAGTGCTATAGTATTTAAGGAAGTACTGCTTATAGACTGATAATTTGATGAAGAATCTCAGCCTGGAAGCGAGAAAGCAAATATATCTTTCACTTTGCTTATTTGCTTTAATGTAGTATGACTTCTGTTTCCTGCTGACACTTAATTTTGTGTTGTCAGTTACTTCTATTAGGGTTGTTTTCCAGTTGCTAAAGCAAGTGTAACATTGTGCCTTAAATGAAAAAGGGTTTGGCTTGAAGTGTTCAGAGTTTCACTTTGGTGCATTTAAGGAAATTGTAATGAGAAACCAGTCTAGCAATGACAGTTAGCTTGGCCTACTAGTTAAGAAGCATGTGTAGCAGCTGAGCACAGCAGAAGACTTGTTAGGCTTGTCCTTCTTTAGGAACCTCTGTTTTAATACAAGCATCTGTGGGTTTTTCTCCCCAGGATCTTTCAAGACTATCTGACTTACCTACACTAGGATCATGCAGTTTGCCCTGTAGGTTTTGCTGTGACACCCAAAATAATGATTTTTTTTCCTAGCAAGTGGACAAATTAGCTGCATCAAAATCTAGCAACTTCTGTTGTAGCTTAATAGAGGTACTTGGCTGGCTAGGACTGACCTACTTACAGTGCTCCTGTGCATCTTCCTTTTAAAGGAGACACTGTGGAATTAAAATCAGGACATAGTGTTCTTGTTAAACCTCAGGACTAATGATGTGCCTTTTTTTTTTTGGTGGTGGTATTTGACACTAGACAAAGAGGGGCTGGATACCTAGTTGCAACAGAAGTGAGTTACTCTGAACTGGGAATATTTTGTTTGTTTTCTCCTGGTAAAATAGCAACATTTTTTATTGCTTGCAGAGGAGATAAGTAGAATTACTTCCTTTTGAATCTAAAGGAGCTGAACAACTGTTTCGTAGTTACAGCTACCAAGTGAAATGTGCAAGTCCTTCTGCAGAACTGTTACACAGCCTGTTTGCATGCTCAGTTTGTGCTATTCTGAATATCAAAACAAGTTATGAATAGCCCAGGCAATTGCTACGAAATGAGAAGTCACAGATGGAGGGACAGGAGTGAGAGGAAGATTGTCAACCAAAACCGAACAGCATCTGCCCATTGGGTGACTCCTGCTAGTGGGGATTCTCCAGGAGGTTGCCCTCTGAAGCAGAGGGGTTTAATAGGCTGAGAGGAGTGTGTGTGTTTTTTTTTTTTTTTACTTTGTATCAGTGGGGAAATAAAACCCAGTGGTAGCAGGTTCTGTTTCAGTGTCTTATGGTTGATCTGATCTTTCCCGGCAGGTTTTGGGATGGTGCCTTAAAAGCATGTGACAAAGCAAGAAATCTTGTCATATTCTCCTTTGTGTAGCAGCTCGTGGTAATTGATTTCTTGTCATTAGGATTGAAGACCTCCTACATAAGGGGGTACACACTTAAGGATTACAGAAGATGTGCATGCACATTAAAATAATGCTTCTCTGTGTATTGGGCTGCAGTGTAACATAGAATTTCAGATATTAAGACTTCCCTTGAAGCGACTCTGGTTTGTGCTCCTTACTCTGACTTTGTTAAACACTACAGAAGAGTGTAGAAATTGTGCTGCTCTGGTGTGACTTTTCTTAACCTATCATGGTACTTTCATTAAAAGTAGTTTTGCCCTGTGACTTCAAACAACAGTCGCACTAAAGTAGTATTCACAGCCACTGGAATATTGATGCATATTTTCAGTAGCTGCAGTAGTCTGGCAGCAGTTGGCAAAGCAATTCCTTTTAAACTTTGGGAAATGGCATTTTTGCAATGCCACCTTCTCTTATGCAAGAGTTAATAAGTTTCCCCCAAATCAGTAAAGATAGTACTTCAGTAGTAAAAAGCTGGCCTTGCTGCTCTGCTATCGTTAATTTTGTTGCAATTGTTTATATGTCCGCAGAACTGTCCCTCATACCATGCTTATCTTCTGGTGAGGGAAGCCAGGAAGCATCTGGGACTATGATGGGTGTTTTGCAGCGGGGCGATGTATCAGAATGGGGATGCAGCCTCCACTTTGAGGAAGAACCCCAGTATGGCCTTTACTCCACATAATGACTAACTTGCAGTTGGTGCAGTTCATGGTTACTTTTATCAGTGAATGCTGGACAGGAACACTTTGATTTATAACTGATACCTGGAATACCAATAACATCTAGCCAGATTTCATCTCTTCTTCCTTCTCTCTCATAAAACTGCCTGTGTTCTCACAGATACCGTGATCATTTTGCCCCCTTATTAATTCAAAAACATACTAAAAGTTAGGATTACTAGAAGTTCTTGGCATGTTACATGCTTACAGCTTGTAAAATGTCACTTGAACTTGCTTGCTCTTGAGAGGCTGTGGAGTAATAAGCTCTTCAGATAACTTAAGGTTAAGGTCACTTCTTGTCTTCTTGACATCTGCAAGATTTGGTGAAGAGAAGTAAATCCCACTTCGCTTTTTGAATGTGAACTCACTTCCCATTTGCAACTTCTGAAGGAAATGGGAAAGTTGGCCACTGACTGACTCATTAACAGAGTAGACTGATAGTCATTGTGGTCTGCAGAGGTGTTTTGGGGCGCTTATGTTTAACATAGTCAAGTGGAGACAAACCTGGGAAAAGAGCCTTTCTCCTGGTAAATTGCAGTAGACTAGGAACAAACCAGTTTGAGTTTTCTCCCAGATTTGCCTTCAGAAACAAATGGCTCAGTTTCCTTTTCCTGCTATTTCCATTTTGCTTGTAAGAAACTAAGTATATACCCAGGACCCTAGGGTGGCTCTGGATACTCAGCCTGGATAGAAAGCTGGAAAGATAAGGAAGTTTTTAAGATCTCAGAGCACTTTAATTTGGGACTTTGAGGGTATTTCCAAGTTCCAAATTATCCTTCCTCCTCCTGTTTCATTTCAGTGATGGATATATTGGAATTGCTTGCTGGAGTAAGATTCCTTCTAAAATAGAAGGAAGCAGGTCTGAAGCAGGTCAAGGGGGGATAAACAATGCAAAGGAGGGCTGAAACACCCCAGCCTTCAGATAAACTTGTTTGATGTGCCAAAAATAGCAGCTTCTAAGAACTTGGGGAAGGGGGGCAGGTTTGGGTGGACATAACATGTGACTGGAGAGCTAATCAATGTGGAAGGGAGAAATCTATTTAAAAAGGGATGACCTCAAGCAGGTAGAGAACAATATATGAAACAAAGGGATGCTGGAGACCTAAGACAGTAATCCCATTGGGTTTATCCAGCACGCATTAGGAGTTGTTTGAGGTAACAGATGGTGCTTTGTTTTCTCCTGGTTTGTAGCTGTGCAGGGATGCGATGTGAAATAACCTGCTGAGACTTCCCTCTTCTTGCAGGAGAGACGGTTTTGAGGGATCTGGCAAGGTAACTGTTAGGATTCCAAGCTAAGAATCCTTCATTCTGCTGTGAAGCAGTAGTCTTAACACTCAGATGGCTTTCTGTGTGTTATGACATGAGTTAAAACCCAAAGGAAAAAGCAAAAATACTGTCTTCAAACTGAAATGGAAGAAGCAGCTGAAGGCAAAAGCGGCACAAGCAGGAAAGGATAGAAAGCTACTTTTTGAATCTGCAAAATTTGAATTAATGCAATTGTTTTTCCCAGAAAGGGAGGCTGGATAATGCTGCAGTGAAGATGCATCTTGACTTATTGTTATATAACCCAGTGCATTGTAGAGCAACGCAGACTTAACTAAGTCACTGCAGAGAATCTGTTGGCTTCCCTGGCAGAAAAGCCACATAGATATTTTAGCACTTCCTTTTTCTTGCTGATGTATCCAGGAGCGAGGACTTGAAATAATACTGGTAAGGAGGTGCTTGGAGAGTTCTTGTGCACCTAAAAGCTTTTTTAATCCTACCTGGCTTACAAGTAATGTGCTTGAGGCTTCTCGTGCTGCCTGGTTCCTCTTGGTTTCATGGTCTGTGTTTCTTGTGGCTGTGCTCAGCGTTGCATGTGGTGACAGCGGTGTTATCCTCAAATCTGGAGCTGGCTACGCAGCCGGGGACAGTGCTTTGAGCAGAATGTGGCTCTGTCAGCTCGAGTATCAACAACTTGCTGCTTCTGGTGGGACTTTTGATGCAGGGAAAACAAGGCAATTGGGTGTAAATTAGTTGATATATTGACAGAGATTAATCCTAATATTTACCTTTTTTTCTTTGTCTGGAACAATTTGCAACCTGTACCCCTCGCCTCAGGGTATCAGACTGCTGCTTCACTCTTCAGTTACTTCTCCCTGAGTGTTGTAAACTTAAACTCTGTCCTGCCCATAGCACTTGCTCTTTCCTGGCAGAGCAGAAGGTTAATGACTGCTCTTATTTGCAGGCTGTGGCAGATTTCACCTGAGCCTGTGAGTGTGTCTCTGGTTACTGGGTGAAAAGTTGTTTCTTCATAGGTTAGTGCAACCCCAGGAGAGACTGCTAAACAACTTCTGCTTACTCATGGACAAAATGGCTGTGGAAAATTGGGAAAAGTTGAGTTTCTGGCCTGGGTGAATCAGCACAAAAACTCCATGGCTTGGACTTGTCCTCTTGTTAATAGTGCAGATCACTCAGCCTTCCCTAGGGGTGTCCAAGGATAGTTGTTTGTGTTTTCCTTCTAAATGTCATGGGTGCAAGGCAATTTGGTGTGGGAGGTGGTGTAGGTGTCTTGCATGTTAAACTCTCCTGGAACCTGCCTCTCTGGAGGGATAGGGCTGGCTTAATCTTAGTCTTAATCAAGTAAACCCTCCTCTTGTATTGAAGCAGAGGTACCAGAAGATAGAGTTTGAGAGCTGGAGAGTTTGGAGATGTTAAGACTTGGCAAAGCAGCCAGGTTTTGTGATTTCTGATGTCACTTTAATATCAATGTTAAGGATAATGCCATCCTTGTCACCTTGGAGCCTACTGAAGGAGAAAGGGATAGGAGCCAATAAAATGTTCTAAATGTAGGTGTCTGTTCATAAGGGGCTTTCCAAAGGAAAGTGATCCTCCTGGTATACTTGCATAACCTGTCTTTAAGATGTGCATGCATGAATAGCATGTTCAGATAACACTAGGTGTAGTTTTATATTAGTTAAGGAATCTACCAGGAAAGTGCTGTCGACAAAAGCAAGGGCTTGCTCTGTGTGCACAGCCGAAGAACTAACCAAGAAGAAAGTCTAAATATGTTCAACTGCTTTAGTTGATAAAATACCTCTTTGCTTTCTGTCTCTTTCTTTGACTTTGCTTACAAATTGCTTCCATCTGTGCATGGTTTTTATGTCCTCCATGCAGTGTGTTGGGGCTTGTAGTCAAATTAGTGCGTGCAGGTGCCTCTGCTCAGCTAGGTGTGACTGCTGGCTCAGTGTCAGTGACTGCAAGGGCAGGAGGGCAAAGAACAGGGCTCTCATCTGGGGAATAACAGCTGAGCTGGGGACTGCTGCAAAGAGCAATTTCTCTTGATTCATGACATCTGGTCGTGTGTCTTTCATGTGCTTAAGCCTAAGTGGCCTAAAGGAAAGGCAATAGGCATTCCTTATTGCACTGCCCTGCTCCCTTTGCAGTGGAAATCTCCCCAGTGTGCAGTTTAACCTTCTTTTTTCCCTTTGCAGCTGCGGCAAACCCCCTTCTGTGGCAGAAGGACTGTGTGAAGGGCCCTGAGGTGTGGTGCCAGAGCCTGCGGACGGCGTCGCAATGCGGAGCTGTGAAGCACTGCCAGCAGACTGTTTGGAGCAAGCCTACTGTAGTAAGCATCAGCTACCCAGGCTCCTTCCCTCCCTGCACCTTGGGGAGCTGCTTTCCATACGCTAATGCCTATTTCCAAGGCTCTTATCGGAGTGGAGTGCTGCCTCTGAGTAAAGCTTGGTGCTGTGTCTTAATCTAGATGCTAAAACTTGCTTTCTACTTTACCTTGTGCAACTTGTCTGCTGACTCTTCCTGTGACTTACTTCACAATCTGAGCTTTACGTGGAATGGAGCTGGTGATTTTCCAGATTCAGTCCTCAAATATTTGTAATTCAGAACCTTTTGATTCTTACACGGAGCCACCCCACACTGATAGACCTATTACAATAAATATATAAGTATCTTCAGTCTTTCCTATGAGTTGATATTTCACAAGATACACTCTGTACTAAATCATGAAGAGTAGTGGCATAATCACTGGATTTAACATGGCTTTTCAGGTCAAATTGTACTAAATGTAAGTTCAATACTGGATGTAGGTGTGGCTTGCTGTATGGTTTCACAGATTCTAGTGAAGTGTATTTGAATAGATGGAATCAACTTTGCATATCTGACTATGGAAAAGTAAGGGTGGGAACTTGTTAGCTAGGCAGAGCTGTATTAAAATACATGAGGCTGAAAATACATGAGGCATGAATACATGAGGCCTCATACATGAGGCATGTATGAAAATACATGAGCATAAGTTGCTATGCTTAAAGTGCAGGTCAACTTGGATAATGATTTCTGGTGCTTTTAAGGGGGAAGTTGTGCTCAGTCCTCTTGGACTGCAAGTTTGGGTTCTTTGCTGCAAGTTCCACTTTGTGCAAAATACTTAGATTCATAAAACCTCTTTATTACTCCTGTCCCAGGATTTTGGAAAGCTGGTTGCTCAAAGATCAAGGGTAAAACAGGTTCAGAGAAGGTCCTCGGGGCAGAGTGCTTCAGGCTGCATGTGACAAGCTGCTGAACTTGCTCATAGCACAGAATTAAGGGGTAAAAATCAAGCGGTAGCATGCCCGATTTCTCATTTTCAGTTATTTACTGAAGAAACTGGAGGTGGATATGTTTGAAACAGCTTCCCCCCTGCAGCTTCAGCCAGCTATTTCTTTCGTTTTTTTCTTGGGTGATCCTCACCCTCTCCCTTCTTATTTAGATGCTACCTTGCGATGTGCTTAATTTTGCCCAAGAGTAACCCTCTGCTCCTCTCCCTAGAACAGCATCCCCTGTGACTTGTGTAAGGAGCTTGTGACAGTGGCCGGCAAGGTTTTGAAGGACAACGGCACAGAGGTAAGCAGAGCTCCCTTTCTCTGTCCCAACGTGGCTGCCTTGCCTCAAGATCTCAAGAGGGGGTAGAAGAGTAATCTCTATCATGCTAATCCTGTGTGTTTTGGCTGCTTTCAACATTCACTGTTTAGATTAGGTAAAGCTTTTTTAGTCTGGTCTGGACTAGTAAATTCTAGAGTTTTTAGTTTGTAGCACATGGGTGATTGTTTCCTTCAATTGTTTGTGTGCCAATGGAACATTAATCCTAAAAGGTAGAGTACTTCAATCTCTAGAAGCGAGTGGTTATATAACAAAGTGAACTTTTATTTGCATGGCTTTTCCCCATGTTCTGTTGTGAGCACAGGGCACTTGTTGTAACCTAATCTGTCCCTCTAGTCCATAATTTCACTTCTTGTGTTTAAATGGTATATGGTAGTGGAGCTGTGTTGGCCAGGCCTTGCTGGAAGTATTTTTTGTTTTGTCTTTGTCAATGTCTCACTGAAGGTCGGCACCTAGAGAACCTCATTCTGCTTTTGCTTGCCCGTGGTCTTGACCTACCCAAGTCCTGGGCTTTCTCATACCTTTTGAGAACAGAAAGAGCTCTTCTGGTGTCCTTATGGTTTGATCCCCTTTCTGCTGCAGGATGAGATCCGCTCTTACTTGGAGAAGACATGTGAGTTCCTTCCTGACCAAGGCCTTGTCTCTGAATGCAAAGAAATTGTGGATTCCTACCTGCCAGTCATCATGGATATGATCAAAGAAGAGCTAGTAAGTAGATATTACAGATTCCTGGAAACTGGGCCCCTCTGGATCCCTGAGTTGCCCTGTTGAAGCAATTAAATTTGTCAGGTCCTATAAGCTGCTAGATAAAGACTTGCCTTTATTTAAGCTGGGGCTCTGTCTGTTCCCTTTTTGTTTACAGGCAAGAACAGTTGTTTAAGGTTAACATTAAGTTAATCATAAGTTAACAGGCTTCAGATAAGCCTGTTGAATCACCAAAGAATGCTTCAGATATCTGCAAACTGCTATAGAAAATATTTGGAAATTCTCTTCGTGGAGAAGAACCCTGAGAATTCTGAGGAAAACAGTTTAAACATGAAGAATTTTCTGTGTAATTGGCTTTGTGTCATGTTTTTAAAGCTGAATCACTGTAAATGTCATAAGAATGTTATCAATCTAGAGCTTTTTGCCTCTCTCACCTTGTTCAGGACAAACCTGAAGTCGTATGCAGTGCCCTTTCGTTGTGCCAATCCCTTCAGAAGCACCTTGCAGCGGTGAAGCTTCAGAAGCAGCTCCAGTCCAACAAGATACCAGAGCTGGACTTCTCTGAACTGGCATCTCCCTTCATGGCTAACGTGCCTCTTCTCCTGTACCCTCAGGACAAACCCAAGCAGGAGTCCAAGGCGAAGGTGCTGTAGTGTCAGTGTGTGAGACTTAATGTTTTCCAGAGCTTTAGTATTTCTTTGTGTAAGAGCTTATTGAGGATTATAGGTAATGGGTTACCTTGCTAGACTTGGATTAAGCCACATGTTTCACATGAGTGCCTGTTCTGTGGTGAATATTTTGCTGCTCCTTATAGACTGTTACCTTTTTCCTAGCCTCTGTTCTTAAAGATAATCTCAATAAGATGAAAGCTGCATCCACTATAGGCTGTAGACAAAGACCACAGCTCTTTAGATTAAGACAAGTCTTGTGCTGGGCCTTTCCCACCCCCAACTGTGGTAGTTAAGCAGGTTGTACTGGAAATAACTTCTTTCAAGTGCAACTTTGGCATCGCTTCTCAGAGGAGTCGTCTGCATCCTAATGAACGCTTTGGTTTTGTCCTTCAGAGGAAGCACTGATCTCTGAATCCAGAGATGACAAACTGGATGGGAAAAGAACCAGAAAGCTGCAGGGGGGAAAAAAATGAGACAAGCTGCAAGCATAGGCTGAGTCTTGATGATAAGTTTGAGTCAGGAAGAGGCAGTTGAGTGGGCAGAGTACTGTTGTGGGTAGAGAACGCTGTTGTGCAGAGTTCCTCCTCTGCAAGGAGCAGAGGGATCTGTCCTAAGGGTAGAAACTTCCCTCTGTAGTAAAAATCAAGGAGTTTTGAGGTGATCTGGGGTTTGAGCTGAGCAGGTACCTCATCCCCATCTAGTGGCTGGTGTGCATACGAGCACGTACCAGTGCCTTGGCTTTTCATATTACTTCAGGTTTTAAGGCCTTCTGGGAGGGTTTATCAGAGTGCTTTTATATATAAGCTAAACTAGCTCTTAAATGTAGTCAGAAATGATGCCTACAAATGGGCTGTGTGGTGACTTGCCAATTTGTCCCCTTTCCTCCTTGCCCCAGGGCACTGGCGATGTCTGCAAGGACTGCATTCAGCTCGTCACCGACGTCCAGGAGGCCGTGAGGACAAACTCCTCTTTTGTGAAGTCCTTAGTGGCTCACGCCAAGGATGAGTGCGACCGCTTGGGACCTGGAATGTCTGATATGGTAAGGGCCTTTCCTAAAGAAGAGGGGTGCCCGGGGCCTTTCCTAAAGAAGAGGGGTGCCCATGTAGCAACATTAAGCAGCTTGTGCCAATGCAATTTCTATTAGTAAAACAAAGGAGGACATATAGCATATAGAATGCATTGCACAGTATAATGGCCAGTCAAAAGTGTCAAGGGTAGGTGAGAAAGGTCAGAAAGTGTGGAGAGAAGAAAGCTTGAATTTCTGCTCATCCTTAAGGGCATCTGCAATAAAAAGGCCCTGCCTAGATAATGTGGTAATATCGTTTGGGGCAGTGCCCTGGGGAAGAGAAGGGCTCACGAGATGAGCAGCATTGCACGTGCAGTGCTCGAGTGACATGAAATACCATGTCATATTTGGGGCAAGCCCTAGACAGTTGTTTAGCAGGACGGGTAAATTAATACCTTGAAAAGTGCAAGGAGGATTTTAACTGTACACCTGAAGTGACTTTATTTACAGCGGTTATTTTCTTCCCCCTTCCTGCAGTGCAAGAGTTACATCTCTGAATATTCAGACTTGGCCATCCAGATGATGATGCACATGGTAAGTTCAGCAGAATGTAGTATTTGCTGTTAGTGCACTTCTGCTTTGCGTAGCTAACTTATAAAGAAATAAACAATTTTGCAATAAAACTCCAGAGAATGCTCTTGATCCAAGTCTTTAGTATTAACTGTATGAACTTGGCACTTAATAGTAGATTTGGCCTAAGGATGTGTGCTTGAGCACTTTTCTTTCACAGCTATTTAATAGTGCAAAAAACTAGTCCTTTGAGACAGTACAAGTATGTTTTTCTATATTAATTGTCTATCTTGTGCTCAAGTCCCTTTTATCCTCAAAATACTAGCTCAGCATGTTAGGGATGGTCCTTGTCGTAGCTGGCAAACACAGTCCAGTCACGTATCAGAATGTGGCAGTTGGAAGTCATCCTAAACCTCACTTCTCTGTCTGCTGTTTTTTGGGGCTTTTGATAGGAGCAGTGGAGAGTGATTACCACCAGTTTTGGTCTTGTGCAACAGTAGATTTTTGCCTCTGGCCGTTTTTGTAGTGTCTTTTTTTCCTGATGTTTCAAAACTGTTTTAAAAAAGAGCAAACCCTTCCTTGAAGGCTATGGTCCTGAGTTTTCCCAAGTAACGTAGTAAGTTATTGGTGAATTTACATGTGGAGTGCATGGCTGACTAGAGCACTCAGACTGTATATAGAGGTTTTGAATTCCTTCCTGTAGGACTTGGTTGCTCAAATTAGAGCTCGAGGTAACTGCACAGCATCAACCAGCATGATTTAAATGTGGGGAGTCACTCCAGCACTGCCAAAGTTTTAAGTGCTGGGTCTC